CTAGCAACGAAAGTTGTCAAATAAAAGTAGTGGAGTAAAGAAGTACAATACTTCCTTCTGAAATGTAGTGAAGTAGAAAGTGGCATGAGAAGAAATGACTAATATATTATTCATATATATATAATATTGTTTGTAAAAAAAAAATAGTCAAGTAGCAGTGCTATTTCTTCAATCATATATCTTCTCAGTTGACCTACCAAACTGTTAATATGGTAATCGAAGAGCTAAGCTAAAGTGCAAGCAGTGTAAGACACGACACTGGCATATTTCCATTTCATTACCTTCCACAACGGAGAGCTGTCACTCTGTGCAAGTTCCCAGACTGGACAGATCAGTAATAATAAATGTGCGTTTGCATTTTTATGTCAACAAACTTTAGTTAAACACTCAATTATGGAGCCATTATGGTTTCACGGGTATCACACGCTATCCCCAAGATTCCCTCTCAACTCTCGCGAGAGTTTCCCAGAGCAGGCGGTAGAACGTTTCTAGTTTCTAGTAGTAGATGTATCATGTACTACTAGAAACTGACAGCAGGGGGAGCCAGAGTTTCAGCGAGACACCAGGAGAGAAATCAACTTGAGGCCTTTTGTTCAGCAGTCTAGTGATTATTGTACACATGCAGCCAAAAGTTTTGAGAATGACACAAATATGAATCTTCACAAAGTCTGCTGCCTCAGTTCTTATGATGGCAATTTGCATATACTCCAGAATGTTACGAAGAGTGATCAGATGACTTGCTAGTAAGATTGCACCTAAATCAACCATTTATCGGATCATCAAGAACTTCAAGGAGAGGGGTTCAAATTGTTGTGAAGAAGGCTTCAGGGCGCCCAACAAGTCCAGCAAAGCGCCAGGACTGTCTCCTAAAGCTGATTCAGCTGTGGGATGGGGGCACCACCAGTGCAGAGCTTGCTCAGGAATGGCAGCAGGCAGGTGTGAGTGCATCTGCACGCACAGTGAGGCGAGGACTTTTGGAGGATGGCCTGGTGTCAAGAAGGGCAGCAAAGAAGCCACTTCTCTCCAGGAACAACATCAGGGACAGACTGATGTTCTGCAAAAGGTGCAGGGAGTGAACTGCTGAGGACCGGGGTCAAGTCATTTTCTCTGATGAATCCCCTTTCCGATTGTTTGGGGTGAGCACTTCCATCAGTCCTGCGTCATGCCAACAGTAAAGCATCCTGAGAGCATTCATGCATGGGGGTGCTTCTCAGCCAAGGGAGTGGGCTCACTCACAATTCTGCCTGAGAACACAGCCATGAATAAAGAATGGTACCAAAATATCCTCCGAGAGCAACTTAAAGACGCCTTATTCAAGTTCTTTAGTTGGACAAGGTCCAAAATCTATCCATGTGACTGCAGAAGTATGAACGAGATTTGGGTAAAAAAAAAACTCAGAAAAGTGGGGAACACAGTAAACTGAATACATAACCTTATTGAACTGTTATTAGGAGAGTAGATGTAGATAGATAGATATAGATATATATATAGATAGATATAGATATATATAGATAGATATATATGATGTTTTGGCTAGAACTGGCAACCGTGTCACAATAGATTCATCTATATTTAAGCTACAACTCTCTGGTGACAGCTTCTCAACATGTGGAGAGCTGCTGTAGGGTTTCCCTCTGTGGTGGTCAACTAAAGGTCTTTGGAGGCTTTACTGTTGGTTGGATAAACAAGCTATTTTCAGACATCTTGCCTTCTGGGAAGTTGTGATGGGAATGTTTCACTACTTCAAAGCATCTTATAGACCAAATGATTTGTTGACTTTATCAATAATGAAAAGCTTTTATTGCAACTGCTATAAAAAAATTAAGATCTAAAATAATCAAATCATAGCTATTATCAGTACTTTTGGTAAAAGATTATTATTGTTTTTTTATTAAAAGATCTAAATACCAGCCTTAAAAAACAAATTCCAACAAGCACCCAGAGAGGGGGTCGGGGGTCAAGCAGAAGATAAACCCACATAATGTACGGAAAAGATTTGAGAGTCTTGTAATTAATACTTCCATTTCTGCTGAAGTGAAAGCACGAGGTGTCATCCGGGACACAATCAGCATCAGAGGAGTTCTCAGGGAGCTTGTCGAGACTGATAGACAACGTAAAAACAGAAGCATTTCTATTCTGCTGCTGCGCTCATCAGATAAACCGTTCAAATCTGGTAGGAAATATGAAAGAATATCAATTAAAGCAAACGGATAATTCTACATTTGAGCCGTTCACCAAACTACTATAAATAGAGTATAACTTTTACTGGAGTGCAGTACTTGAGTAAATGAACAAAGTAGAAGAAAATAAATAAAATTAAAATAAATAATAGAAAAGTAGACATCCATTTTTTTAAACCTTTTTTTAATGAACCCTGATTATCGTTTAATTACAAATGAAGAGAAACTCTACAGGTGGTTCCTCCATGATAAAAACAAAAAAGGGTCCGTCTCTCCTCTGGAGTGACAGCTCCCCGTGGAGGGGGACACGAGAGGAGGGACGAGAACAGAGAGAGGGGACGGGGGGGACACATTTCAAATAATACAATGGTTAAACAGTACAAAGCTTTTTTTTTTTTCTTACAGAATCCGCCAAAAGGGGAAGAAAAATATATATGTACAACATCAGAAAAAAAAGAGAAAAAAAAAGAAAGAAAAAAAAGAAGAAGTGTTTCTTCCCCCTGCGTTATATCATGTGGGGATAATGTGACCCTCTTGTCCATGGTAACGTGGTTATAAAGTCAACATAAGTAAAAAAAAAGATTAAAATTAAAAATAAAATGCACTGAAGCAAACTAGTTGAAGTTCATGGGAAAGAGTGCAAAACTGGAACAAAAGCTCACAGGAAACCAGGAAATTCATGGAGAGGAGAGACGGGGCAGGAGGGTTCAGAATAATCAAAAACAGTCATATTAATAATAAAATTACAAGAGTAACAGTAATACATCAGGAAAAAATACAGAAGAAAATGACAACGACAAATCGGGCGCGGTGGGGTGAAAATATGGACCCGGCGGCGGAACGGTTATTCTCTTGTTTTGTGTGTAAGGCAGCGCGGTTCAACGGTTCAGGTACAGCCCGCCGTTTGTATTGTTCTTTACTACACACTTCAAAACGGCTACATCGGTCCTCTGAAGTTCCCGAAAATTGGATTTAATTATTTTTTGCTGGCACTTTTTTAATGCTGAGAATGTAAAACAAGCCAATTAAAAACGACAGATGTAAATGTCTGGTGAAGAAAAAGTATTTCAAAATAAGATACACACGAGTCTGGAGCTAGCTGGACGAGAAAAAAAAGGAACTTTATAACCTGGAGCCGAGATTTCATTTATGTTGAACAGCTGTGTGTGTGTGTGTGTGTGTGTGTGTGACGGCATAACCATGGAAACCACACGTACACAAGTGCACGAACACACACCGAGCAAAATGAGCAAGTCGGGCTATGGGAAGTCCCTCTCTCTCCACTCCGCTCAGAGGTTTTATGATGCAATTTCCTCAGCGTGCGAGTGTGCATGCAGTTTCTATGGTTTACCGTCTACTCCAGAGAGACTGTGGGGGCGTCTGATGTCACATGTGATGTCATGCTTCCCTTTATTCTAGCCACAGTAAAGCCTCACTGTAACCAGGACAGGGTGTGTGTGTGTGTGTGTGTGTGTAGGGTTCAGACCAGCCCGTACACACTCTGATCACACAAAGCCGTCCGAGTCCAGAGTCCGCGCTCGAACCAAAGTCTGTTTGTGTCGGCAGCTGGCTTATGTGAGGCGACGCAGAGCAGGAAAGACCTGCTGTCGTCCAATCAGAATCGTCCGGAACACACGGGTCCGTCGCCCGGCTCCCCGTTTCAGCAGATCGGGGGCCTAAATGCGTCAGGTGTTTCAGTTACAGGAGGGCGGGGTTTACCACACGGGGACAGGTGAGGGGGAGACCCTGACGTGGTCAAACCCCGCCTACTCCAGGGAGGTTAAAACACGCCCACCGATTTTACCCCAAAAGACTCTGCTAACTCATTTCTCCTCCGTCCCCTGAATACACAATAACTGGTTCAAAAACAAACAATTTGAACAATATAAATATAAAACTCTGAGGCCTTTGTCGCTGCAGCTCAACGGTCAAGAGAAGGCAAGGGTGAGAAGGCAAAGGTAATCATATGCCCGTTAGAATATATACATATCTTTACCATTAAAAATAGTAGGATTTTCCTGATTTGTATCAAATGACCATATTGAAATATAATATTTGAATTCAATATATATTTGAATAAAATATATATGTGTAGATTTACTTATTCTGTATCTCTCTTTTACAAAAAACAGAAGGCATGGTGGTACTGCGTGCGTGTGTGTGTGTGTGTGTGTGTGTGTTATACAACATGCTGGGGGTAATGCGATAAAACTCTTGTTGGCTTATAAAAAGGCACAATCTTATGTGGACTTGTTCGTTACAACGGGCGCAGTGTTCTTTCTCCCCCTCTTTTTGAACTTTGAGTAAAACGCCATTAAAAAGAAGGTTTTTCTCGATATCTCGGTGAACGTTTGTCTGAATTTAACCTCGACGCTCCGCATTCATGTCTACGCCCCCCCCGAGATAAATCTGTTCGCTCCGAACGTCGGCTGTTATCTGCGATGCACGAAACTTCCTCAGATCACTGCAAATGCCCTAAAATACTGTCCCGTGTCGATTGACAGAAAGAATGCAGTTTAAAAAATAAAACAAACAAATGGGGGGGGGGGGGGGGGGGGGGGGGCTAGCAGAAGAGCTGTTGATCCGTACGTTAGAGGGAGTAAAAAAAACTACCTCAAAGCTCCAAAACCCCTCAGTGTGTGTGAAGTCGTGCAGGACCAGCTGAAGACGCCCCCTGTATCCTGAGAGGGGTTTTTGTCCACCAAGCACACGCATACAGAATTAAGTGTGTCTGTAATTACAGCCTTTCTAGTCGCTGCTTCCTCGACAAGCGCAGAGAAGGAGAGAAAGATCCGGCTCTTTTTTCCGCAGACCTGGGCATTTTCTGTACAGTGGGATCCCACGACCATCTGCTGGCTAACAAATGCTAATGCGTGGCGGGTCAGAGGTTCAGAGGTCAATCTCCCTCTTCCTGGAGACAAGGCGCTGATTGGAGAGCTCTTCCTAATCTCCCTCTTCAGTCTGAGAGATCCATCGGAGAGATGTCACCGTTCTTTTTTTCTTTTCTCCCCCTCACTACGCCATCAGGCTTGGTGACGGGCGTGGACCGAGAGGCACTTCTGTAATCTCTATCAGGGCTGTTAAAAGTGTTTGTTTTTTTTAGTAACATCAGGATCTGTCTGTCTGTTGTTGGGGAGCGGTGATGATGTGAGGAGGAGGGCACAGGTGTGATGCGAGATGTGACCCCCTTGCGGATTTAACTGGCGCTCTGAGGTGTTCTCATGGGGGGGGTTATCTGAAAAAAATAAAAAAAATAAAAAATACTGCTGTGTTGGTGTTTGATGGGGAGTAAAGGGTCTAGCCTTGCAGCACATCAGAGGCCACACAGGCACATCTGTGTTGTCGTTCTATGCCAGCCGTGACGTCTTGTGGCAGCCTGCTGACAGAACTGACCACAGGAGTGCACGAAGGTGGGAAAGAAGGGGGGCGGCACTGCAACAGCGACAGACCCAGAGCGGTGATAATGGTGTCATCTTGTTCTTCGCTACCTTGTGAACATTGTAACATGTGCGGGGAAATATTTGGTTTTGTGTGGAGTCATTTAAGGAGCTCGCAGGGCTGCGAGGTCAGCAAAAAGTGCCCGACTCCTTTAATTGTTGCACAGAAAACATTATTTCCAACAAATGATACATGTTCAGACATTAAAGTGTGTTTACGTCATCACCTTTCAGTTACTGTCTCCACTTTGCTCACGTTCACTAGTGCCATCAAGAAGCCACAAGGCATTATGGTCTAAAACTATAACATTTGAAGACGAGACTCAGAGAGGTGTGTGTTTTGTATCCAAGTAGAAGGTGTGTGTGTGTGTGTGTGTGTGTGTGCGTGCACATGATGCTCAGCAGCCAGTGTTTTCTAGAGACAGCTGTGCCGTGGCCCTCTGCAGCTCAGAGCTCGCTCTGCGCTGGGTGGGCGGCGGTGGCAGCATCAACCCCAAAATGACCCCTCCTCCTCCTCCTCCTCCTCCACCCCCGGTCGCCACCTCCCCCACCGATCTTCCGCCCGCCCCCTCTCTCCTCCCCTGCCGCTCCTCCTCTCCCTCGGCCTTTACTTTCTTGTCCTCCGCCTCGTCCCGCTCGCCGTCCGCCTCCATCTTCTGGTCCTCACTCCAGCGGCGCTTGAAGCGCAGCTTGAGCGGGATGCAGCGAGTGCCCCCGGGGCTGATGGGAGCCGCCTGACCCGGCTCGCTCTTCAGGTTAACCGGGTGGAGGACGACCAGGCTGCTACCGATGCCGCCGCTGCCACTGCCGCCGGCGCCGCTGCTGCAGATGTCGCCGTCGTCATCCCGGTCGTTCTGATTGAGCTCATCTTCCTCACTGATGTCAGTCACCTCCACCTCTTCTTCTGACTCGATGTCGGATATGGGCTCCACCTGGAGAGGAAGAATATTTTACAGGATGACGTTTCATTTATGACTCAAGCCAGATGTTATTCATGCTTGAAATGATTGAGAGGCATTTCCGAAACCCCTGAACCATCCCTAAGTGGAACCATCACATCCTGTGTGTGTTTTAGCAGTCTCACCTTGATCTTAGGAGGCCCTGCAGCCAAGGCAGAGTTGATTATCTGACTAGACCCTGTGAATGAGGAGGACTGGCTGGAGGAGGAGGAGGAAGCAGAGGCCAATGAGCTCCCACAATCCCTCTGCTTGCGCCCGAGCGGCGGCGGCTGCAGCTTGAACTTGAACGGCGACGGGTGGTGCGGCCCATCCTCCCCGCCTCCTGGCTGGTGGCCGAGCGAATGAGAGAGCGGCATGGGCGGGCCATGGAGGTGATGGGCGGCCGGCTTCTCGAGGGTGGGGCGGTGGGGCTGAGGGATGATGATGCTGGGGTAGTGGAGGAAGGCCCGGGGGCTGAGGTGGTAGTTGTAGACGGACTGGGTGTGGGCCTGCAGGTAGTGCTTCATGTCCTCTGGGTTGAAGGAGAAGTGAGAACCCAACATGGGGGAGGACATGGAGGGAGAGGGGGTGTAGGGCAGGTGCGGGGTGGGGGTCATGGACAGGGCCGGGGACAGAAGACCTCCTGGGCCAGGCAGCGGGGAGACGGGGAATGGAGACAGAGAATCCGGGTGGACCCTGGGGCCATGTCTGGCCAGCCCGGTGTTCGGGTAGATCCTGAAGAAAGACTCGTGCGGCAGACGTGGAGGGAGCAGGCCCCTGTAGACCCTGTCGGGCCCCACACTTCGCTCGTCGGCCCCCATGGCCTCCTCCAGCTCCGAGTTGGTGGAGGTGCCGTCGCTGCAGTCGCTCACGGAGCCACGGGCCATGCGGCGGGCCACGCTGCTGAACATGCCCGGACTGCGCAGCTCCTCGCTGGAGGAGAGGACATCCGACGGCGTGGAGGGGGGGAAGCGGAAGTGACTGCTGCCGGTCGGCACCGGGGGAGCACTCTGAGGGACACGACCTGTGAGGAGGAAAAGAGGGGAGGGGCGATTAAATTCAAATCCACAATGTAATGTAAATGATCTAAAAACAAAAAGAAGATAAAGGAGGATGGGAGAAGAAAGCAGGCGAACCGGCACTTTAAACTGAGGAGAAAAGTAGCTATGAGAGTGAGTCACATGTCTCCCATAACTCAAACTATTTTACCCAAAGGGTCACAGGCACACAGAAAGAAAACACTGGGTTACTCAAAGCCACAAGTTCCCTTCTCTTTCAACCCCTCCCCCCTCTCTCTCTCCTGCCAGAGAGACTGTGGCACGGCAATAAATTCTTGGCATCCGCGCACGTGCCAGAATTAAATATTGGAAAAGTCGCTCTTACTGCCATCACAAACATGGGTTGGGTTCCTCTGTTTTTTCCAGCACTGCTGAGTGTGTGTGTGAATGTGTGTGTGTGTGTGTCTCACAGCCATGTGTGTCAGAGAAGATGTGTGTTTATCTGATGTGTATGTTTGTGAGCGTCTGCGCTCGCTCATCAATCCAGATTGACGTGGGCATGTGCGTGCGGGTGACCGTCGTACGAAACCATCATATCACAACATGTCATGTGTGTGGGCCACATCACACAGAGGCTATAATTAAAGTTTCGTGCCGCACTTATGTCACCCGGTATCCAACGCTCCCATATGGGCCTTGTTTACACTGGGTGGCCGGGACCAGAACGGGAGACGACTTCAGAGGAGGGAGGGGAGGAGAGGAGAGGGATAATCTGGGACGTGGCACACTGATGTCTGAGAAGATACATACACACACACACTACACCCAAAATGGGTTTGTGTATAGGATTTGTACTTCTATAGGATGGTATCTGATTGAGCCATCTTAGGGGTTAACATACTTGATATGAACAGAGATATAAAACCAGGAAATGATTTAAGCACGTTTGCCCTTCTGGTTCCCTCATCTCGAAGTCAATGGGAAGTTTTGGTAAGATGTCTGCAGTACGCTTATAGCTTTTTACTTTTACCAATTTTGTTTACATTTCAAAAATCATAAAAGTGGTGTTCATTTGTGAACAGTATGTTGATGAACATAACGTGCAAGTATCACAAGCGTGTGTTTGCCAGAGAGCTTATTTCCTGAAGTAATCATAAATCCAATAGAAAACCTCCATTGGCTTTTTGTCGCGGAAAGCAGTGAGATGCTAACCTCCTGGGTTGGCCTCCAAAAAGCTCTCGATATGATTGGATTATATTAAATGCAGTGTGTAGATGGTGACCAGGGCTGGCCACAAAGCTGCTCCAGGTCTGTACTTATAAGATTTATCCTTGGCATGTTAACTGGTTGGTCCCCCGCTACACTAAATTTCACATAAAACATTTGAATGTCTTGAAACAAAATTACAGGAAAATATCAGATCATGATTGGCTCTCTGTGAAAAACTCTGTTCTTGGCTAACAAGCAGTGGTGCAACGGAGCACTGTCGAGCCGTACGTAGTTTTACTGACGATCATTATCCGACAATATTCAGTATAATATGTGATCAGGACATCATTTATGCTTTTCTAGTCGCCGATCTCCGATAATGTTACATCGTAAAACAACCAAATTGATGGAAACAGAGCTAGTAACGTTAGCAGCATCGCTAACGAAGAAAGGTTTAATTTGGTTACATTATTATGCGTTCAGGCTCTGCTCAGTGAAAATGAGTACTGGGCGTAGGTAAATTATAATGTTATCATGATGTAATCTTGTAAAATGTAGTTTTGGTGAGAAACTTGAAAAATCCAGTTGTTTTCAGAGCAACATGAATAGATATTAGAGATGAATTATGAGCTGTTTACACTAGCTCTAAGCAGATTATAATACATCATTAAAACTACTAATGACAAGATTTGTTTTAATCAATGAAAATACAATCTTTTATTTCCTTATTTAAATTGTGTGTCTTTATGAAGATAAAACCCCATAAAAAATTACTTTCCCAAAGTAAAAGGATAACACAGAGAATCTGTGTAATGTTATTGACTTCAGAGTGGTTGAAATGATTTTTGGGACGGATGGATCCTTGTAGACCAGCTGCTATAATCAAACAACAAAGGGATCTGTGTCTGCCAATATGGATCATCAATGATCTGCAATTAGTATCAGCGGCAGAAAAAACGTGATCAGGGATCTCTAAAAGTTATATTTGCTCCTTGATCCAATCCGTGAGTTTTATGATCCCTTGCACCACTACTATCAAGTGTTCAGCGGTTGTTTTAGCTCTTCAATCTCAAAGATAAGTTCAGCAACACAAGCACAGGGACCTCAAATTCAGACACCTGAAGGTCAAAAACAACGCGTCTGCCCGAGAGCTTACGCTCCTTGAACGGCTTCTTTCTGTCAAGTGTAATTTCATTCTTTTCATCAAAACTATAAATAACCGGGAATTTTAGTTCCCATGGGATGTTATCAGGGCAGAAAAAAAAAGACAACGGTTAGACACAACACAAGGTAACATCTCCACCGTGATGCTACACACGTCCTTGAGTGGTGAGCCAACCTGGGATATCGGGTACAGAAATGTGAGTGTGCGCGTACCGGAGCCCATGTCGATGAAGGGGTAGTTGACCAGCACCAGTTTGTTGAAGTTGAACTTGTAGGTGAACCTCTTCCCCTTGGTCTTGTGGAGGATCCTCTTGTTGTAGTAGTATCTAAAGAGTGAAGGACAGACAAGAGTGTTATCTCCCAGAGAGTTACCAGCTGTAAACACGGTTCTCACCAGCATGGATAAGTCTATATATCATGCACGTTTTCTCCAGCTGAGACTATGGACTGAAGTAACATTTGTCCTGCATGGAACAAAACAGCTCACATCTCGTCAACCAAAATCACCAAAGTCCACTGTTTATCCCAAACCTGAATAAACTGTATGAGGACATTTAGTAATCTTGACGACAGCTTTTATGGTCACAAGTCAGACGTTTTCTGGTATCCCTACTGATGTGAGCCAATTACGGGTGTGAACATAAATGAATGAAAAGATACCGAGAGTCATTAGAGGGTTTGTAGTTGTTAAAATTAAACTTTTACTTCAATGAATAACATCAACCACCTCTGGTGGGGAAAGAACTCGATACATAAACTGTTTTATCTCAAAAGCAATGCGCCCACACAGCGTTTAGGTACTCGCGTTCGATGTAACGTTATATTAGTAGTCCGCACAATGGTTTGTTCGACAGCTATCACACCAGCCCAAACCAACAGACCAGAGTTTGTTATGACCGAATCAAAGGGGTCAGGTGTGAAAGCTTATGAAACAGTCCGTTTAATACGCATTAACATATTAAACGCCTCTGTGTGACCTACATAAGCAATCAAGACCCTCGGCGAGACGTGTGGGTTTCTACACAGGATTCATTCTACATTTTTACCAATACATCTCCAAGATGTCCAGTGTATACTGTATATAAAAATGTGAGTAAAAAAGGTTGAAGTCTGATGTTAACCCATACAGTGAAAAACATAACGTCAAGAGACATAACTGAGCTGCCCGAACGTTAAAGTATTTTTTAACCAATTTTTATGCTTTTGAATACAGGTATTTGTGAAGCTAATTTCGATGACTTCCCACAAACTTTCTGGGGTGATTTATTTTTCCAAAACGTCTTTTAAATTCCATGACAGACAAAACGATTTGCGGCCTGCAGACCAGATGGGCCTATGTTTACATTTCCACAAGATTTAATACGTTAGCCAGTTAAAAGGAAGCAGGTGGAGATTGTTCTTCTGAGATTCGACTTTTTACATTATAGTTTGCGGTTATGGCTAATACTGGGACAGGATCAGCAAAGAGAAAAAAGAAAAGAATTGACAAAAAACTAAAAAAGGGACAGTGGTGTAGCACGGGGCGAAACACGAGTCAACCGTGGTCGGCCATTCAACCGATGGAGAGAATCGTTGGATTCAAAGAGATTCAAAACTGATTCCCACCTATACTGAACTCAGAGATTTTTCAGGTGAATGTTAGTGAATTGGATAGATAGATAAAAACACTGTAGTATTACAGAAACCAAATTGTTGCACTACCTGCATGCTAATCCGACATTACTCAGTGAACACGCAACTTAACAAGCTGCTCATAATTAGGGGTGGGAATCACCAGAGATCCCGCGATATGATATTATCACGATACTGCGATATTATCACGATACTGCGAAAATATAGGCCTATATTGCGATTTATTACTTTTTTCAACTTCAAATTATGTCCCCAAAGGAAAACTGTGTCAACATGTTTTATCTAATAAGATAAAGTTTTCAGTCTGTTCATCTCACTTCAATCATTTTTATTGCCGCAAAATAGGATTGTCAAGCAGACAGACTGACCAACAATGTCATAAATGTTGCATGAACCTGACAAACTGAACTGTTTGTATTACTACATAGACCTACTTAACTAAATGCAGTATACGAACTATAACTTATATAAGTAGGATATAAGAGTTATATAACTCAGTATAACTTGCGATGCGTGGACGTCGAGGGCAGAGAGACAGTTATGCGCTGCACTCTCCCCATGAGCCTGGCTACTGTTTGCAGATTTAACCCTGTTGTGAGGCCAGATGTCTCTTTGTTTTGACCAACTTCCTACCAATCACGCTGACCTGGGACCTTTGCTGACCTCACCAGAAAACAACTCAGCACCATCTAGTGGACTGAAAAAGCAATTGATTTTTAAAAAAAAATAGTTTATATAATAAAAGAGCGATACTTGCGTCAGTGTATCGATACAATATCGCCACGCAAAATATCGCGATACTATGCTGTATCGATTTTTTCCCCCACCCCTACTCATAATGTGAAGACGCGGTTGGATTCAAAATCTCACTGTGATCTAACAGATTTGCTCAAACCCAGGCGGCTCCATTAGTAAGGGATTAGTCATTGTCAATACACAGAGCGATGGAGAGGAGTGAATAGCGAGCCGCTAACAGCTCATCCGGAAGATAAAATGGCTCCGTGTGACTCAACGATGGCCCTCGGGGACCAAAACCGCATTCATATTTCTGTACATAAAGACTAATAAATCAGTGTCTCTCATTCAGCTGACACTGGTCACTTCATTCTGGGAACTGTAATGCATTATGCATCCTTTCCAGTCGGGCTCGAGGAGCTCAGTGGTTAAATTTGCTCGAACATTAAGTTGTAAACATGTCTCTTAATTAGTTACAAAAAGAGCTGTTCTCCATGTTTCTGTATAAATCCATCCCCCTAATTTAGGCTACATATATAACAGACACAATATAAAAATAAGTGTTGCAAATGTAAAACTATAGTAATAAAATACGATGGTATTTAGAGAATAGAATTACTTATCTGTGAGGCGGATTAATGTTCATACAAGCTCAATAATCCAAAATGTAAACCTTTTGTGTGATAAAACAAATTCAAGGGAATACTTTCAAAATGCTGTTTAACTTTGCCAAGTCTAAATCCTTTATTTGCTGTTCCACAGAGCTACAAAAACCATGAATGACAAACAAACAGAATTCTGTGCATTATTACCACCCTAAACAAAAGCCAAGATGTAAACAAGATAAGATTCTTACAGAACAGTAAATGATTAGTTTCCTACGATCAGTCACACTCATAGTGACAGTAATGATATAGGACATCATATTTGTCACACTGATGAAGCCGTGCCCAGCTGACTCCCTGCTCCACTATGGTCAGAGTATTAGTCACTGGAGCTCGGTACAATGCAGAACAAAGTGAAGTGTGTTTGACGTAGACCAGGAGCTCATCCAGCTCCTCAATGACTCAATAAGTGAAGGGCCTCTTCTGAGAGAGACGACTACTACGCACACCCACACCCTCGCGTTCAACGCAGACACACAAAAGGAGCAGGCGGTTATGCAGTAGGCACGAAAATACATAAACAAGTAATGATAAAAAACTACCGAGCATGCACAGAATGAATCAGAGTGACTATTTGAGTGGCTTTTAGTCATTTCAATAATTTAACTCAAACTTATTGGGGGGGGGGGGGGGTCTCTAATCATTGAGGGAAGTTGAGCAAACATATAATACTTTCTTAAATTAATATATACTATATTACATGTTTGACGGGCTCTTAGTGAGATATGGTGATAATAAATAAATAAAGAAAATACAGTTGAAGAATGTAAGGTAAGTCTCACAAAAAGGCAAAAAAACTGAAGAAAAATGGCAAGCCCTTAAATGTGCGCTGGAGTTCAATTCTGGCAGACTTTGTACAGGTGGAAATTAACACGGAAGTGGCAAGCGGGCATACACGGAAAAACACAAAAAAAGCCAATAGTTTACTACACACACGCTCTAGGAAGTCAACAGAAGTATTTGTGAGCAGGTGTTAACAACAACCGTGGCCTGTGTGTGCCGTAAAACAAGAGCTGGAAGGACATCATGTTCACAGACGTGTGGATGGATGGATGGCACTTTGAATGGGTCCGGGTGGAAGAGGCCAAGAATGTACATGTGAGAGGAGTGAAAACACACACGAACACACACACACACACACACACACACACACACACACACACTGCTGAGTCAATATGGGACAGCCGGTCTCACATGCTGGGCCCAGGCCTCGCTGCAGGCCTCCTGCTCTTTGAAGACCATTTGAACTTCCTTAAAAAAAAACAGAAACTAGAAAGCACTTTTCACTGTATAGACTCGGCATCTATGTTTTGTGTACGTGCGTAAATGTGTGCTTGAGATCCAAACTCAGAAGCGCATACGTCTCTACACACATGTGACGTGTACGCGTGAATGAAAACACACACATGTGCACTACAAAGACGGAGAGAAGCATCAATCAAAGACTTCACATCTAACAGAGAGAACCTCAGAATGGATTAACAGCCCTCGGTTCATATTAAAAAGGTTCGCAAACCACAGAAAAGACGTTCGCATCAAAGTTGCTCCTTGATGTAAAACACTCTACTGAGACCAAAAAGAAAGTAGCGGCTCCTTTAATACATGGACTGTGTATTTACTGTGAAAACGTTATGGGATTAATTCCCTCTTCAATGGAACAATTTGCCACCTTTTTATGTGGTGGTCCAATCAGCTTTGATGGTAAACGTAGTGGATTGAAGCAATACAATCCTCAGCATGTGCGTTAGTGTTCTGTATGGAAGCAGATGAATAAAAGTACAGCCTGCCATTTTCAACTTGGATTTCTAGTCTCCGTCTCTGCGCTCCGGATACAAAAATGGCATCCCAAAATATGAGTGCACAGGATGTTATGGACAAGGATACATTTTACAGTGTTTTGTCCAACTCGGATGATTCAGCCGTATTTATTCAAGTTTAGGGCCGGAGGAAAGAAAGAAATCAATCAATCAATCAATCTCCCCCTCCCCCTCTCTCTCCCTCTCCAATAGACCAGAAGGTTGCAGCCCTTGTTGAGCCCTCATTATAAATCTGTCAATTTGACATCTGTGTTTTACTTTGAAAGGTGCTTAGGAAATGATATTAATTGTATCAACTTTTGATAGGACACTAATGTAAAGTAGGTCTACAGAAAAAAGGAAATTAACCATTTCATCCCTTCAGCAAATATCAGGCTAGTTTCATCCAGCATTCTTAGCTATACCTACGTATAGGTATCCCACGAAATGCTTTGGTATGTTTTGCACGTAATCGTGAACGTATAAAGACCGCTAAATCTCACCCACCGGGCGGGAGGGGTGATGTGTTGGTCCAACAAACGCAGATCTTTCACCCAGGAACGAGAAGTCATTGGTGGCTTTGGTAGGAAAACACACGGATAATGAGGGAGTCATTTCTTCCTAGGATATCATATGAACCGTTGTATTATATACACGTTACACCTGTTGCATGGCTTCTCCCTGTGCTTATACGGAATGTATTGTCCCTTTTACAAAGGAACTGAAACAAATAAACAACACAGCAGCAAAGACAAAACAAGGTTCAAGCAACAAACAAGACACAGATGGGCTGGAGGAGGGCTGACATACAACAAGGTGTTAACTCTATGTGTGTGAACGTGGGTGTATGTGTGTGTGTGTGGTGATGAGGCAGTGTAACTAGTCATCACCATGGCAAACTATAACCCACACCAACCTACAAAACAGGAGGCGACATTGATGAATAGCAGTGTGTGTGTGTGTGTGTGTGTGTGTGTGTGTGTGTAAACAGGCTGGCAGCTAAATAAAGCTCCGCAGCATCCCACATGTGCTCCGCAGAGGGTGAAGGTGTGTGTTTCTAAATCTACCGTCACGCTCGAGTTTCAGCACGAAGCGCAGGAGCTCATTCACGACTAAACATCTTTACCCTACACATTAACACTGTTGTACTTCAGATCAAATGTATCAGAGAAATAAGAGCTTTAAAAAAGAAAAACAAGTTCAATGTCAAAATCTCCTACATTACACAACAAGGCTGGACTTTAAAAGCAGCCAAGTTATACTTCATAGTGTCTTCATTCCTCAAAATAAAGGCGACGACTAAAAATGACAACCATACTTTCAGTTTCGGCGACCACAAGATGATGCCTGGAAGATTAAGTGTCTTAAAATGTTCCTAAAAATGTGATCTGTGAATCTTTATTTTGCAAAAAATAAAAACAAGATGAACATAAAGTAGACGTTTGAAGTAGAATGTTGAAGCACAAAGTTTTGTTCCAGTTCTGGTGTGTGTGTGTGTGTGTGTGTGTGTGTGTGTGTGTGTGCGTGAGAGAGAATGGACACACTAGTTATCCTTAACCGCTGCTGAACTGTTATCTTACACTAAAAATAAAATAGATTTTTAAAGAAAAAAACATCCGCCTTGAATGGTTCACTGACTTCATCCCAGTTCATCTGAAGTGCAAAAGAACACGATTCCAGCTCGTGTAACTTAAGACCGACCCGTCTGGGCTCTTTGCCATTATCGGACTCCTCTGGTATCAAGGACACACGACCTCAATATGAAGCTAAATATTAGCATCAGTCCAGATAAGCCTAACCAAGGATGGCTGATACCTTTCAGACTGAAGCAAGCACCCGAGTAAAGACCGTTTTTGTCATTGGTGTCAATATATCAACAAGTGTCAGCAGACCCGGCTCTGCAGCTCTGCTCCTGATGCGAGTTCAATCAGGTTTTAAAAGATTTAGTTTCAAGGTTGGTTTCTGTAGTGTAGCAGGGCTCGACATTAAAGCTTGCGCCCTTGCCTGGGGCAAGTAAACTCTGTGTTGGGTAGTTTAGTTTCCGGTGTTGTTTGTTGGCATGTAAAGCCCACATGGACTCTCACAGACATGGGTAGAATTGAACTAACTTGTGGCCATGTGACTTTGAAATATATAATTTGTGCTTAAGTGTGGAGACACTGTCCTCCTCCTCCATCACCTCCTTTTATTCTTCAGTCTCACCTGAGAGCACGGCTGAGCTTGTCGTAGTTCATCTGCGGTTTACACTTCCTGGCCCCCCACAGGCGGGCCACCTCATCTGGGTCCTTGATCACAAACTCTCCGTAGTCTCCCTGCCAGGCGATGACGTCGTGGTACTCTTCTTTCCTCAGCAGCTCCAGGATGAAGTGCCACAGCTGGATCTGTCTGGAGCCCGGGCTTGATTCGGGCTTGTAGGCCCAATCCGGAAAGGCAAACCCTGGGGGAGGGAGAAAGGAGAGAGGAGAGAGGAGGGTGTCAGAGCTGGATGATCATCAACAGAGGCGAAAGACAGGATGGACACAACAAGAGCTGGCTTATTCCAGCCCTTTAACCCTGTCTCATCTTTTCTTTGTCTTATTTGTTGTTGGCACACTGCTAGCAGCGTAAAGCTACACACAGTTCGATATGTACCTTGATGTTTGGGTCCCGGTTCGGCACCGTAGGGAAAACAAAATACATGCAGAAGGCACATTGTAGCAGGTTCAAAACAATAGGACCATATGCTTTCATTCAGTATCGGTCTGAATCTGCACTACCTGAACGCTGCTACAATAACAAAGTAGGAGGATAACATTTAGATTTTCCACTGACTCCGGGTCAGTGGAAAATATATTTCAGGACGAGCATATTTATGATTGTCCTTTATCCTTCTAAAGTTGTTCATTGTCTTTTTTAGGCATGGCACGATATGATTCACGACATTATCTCGATAATCAACAAAATATGCTTTAAACCCGTAAAAGTTGAATTGACTCTAGTGGAGCTAAACCTAACCTGGTTAACAGATCATAGTCAGGGCTTGGTACTATGCGTTTGCCATAAAAAGTCCTGGATCTGAAAGACGAAAGACAATGTTACCCTTCAGTGATTTGATGGTAGAAGCACTTGGAGCCAGGATGTAAACAAAAAGAAATATTTCTCAAATCAAATTTTTTTTTTTTAAGTGCATCTCTTCACCTTGTTAAACTACCTGCCTTCAAACAAAATTGTAAAAAATTGTGTTCCATCTATTTGAAATCTTGTAAAGGAGAGCAGGGAGCACACAAATAGGCAAATGTAGTTTGGTTTGACTCCACAGACACTTAAATCAGATGTAAGAGGAAAACACTGGCTGAGCATTTGTGAAAAGATACAAGACATGAGAATTTTGGGAATCACAGGTTCAAGGATGAAAAGCGAACGTTGCAATCCCCGTTACATTTCAGTCCGTGGCTTCGTTGCAGAGTGGAACCAGTGCGTCCAGCAACGCTGGTCGTGAGCATTTCGACTCAATCTGTTCCCAGAGACCGCAGTCACATCAAAACTACACTGCTATCGCCATCAAAGCTGGAAAATCAGCGCTGTTAGAACAGATTAACAGGCCTTGAGATATGTGCAGACAAAACACAAGCTATGGTATTATAACTACTATCAGGGCGCACGCTCACACAAGCGCACACACTATTATCCAACATGGAAAAGTATAGGCTTTGAGTTGTAAAGCAGTGGGTGGCAGTAAAAGACTCAACACCACTCCAACACAAGGCCGGGCTGAAAGGCTGCATAGCGAATACATAGTGACACACACACACCTCGTTAGGACCAGATGTGTCTTGGCAATCAGGCTGAGAAAGCAAAGGGTGGGAAACATGTGGGCACAATATAACAATGCAGAATTCTGTGTGTGCGTGTGTTTATGTAAGTGTAAAGAAACACAGTATCCTAAATACCAGGGTTACAATCAGTTTCCAACACTCGACAAAGTCGGCCATGTCCATAGAACAGTGACGGTGAACTTTTAACAAAGACACGCTGGTGCGACGAGGCCTTTCAATCCAAGTTGCAGTGACTGCACACGACACATTCTTGCCGATGCAAAGCTGAAGTTGTATCATTCTGCATGTGATCCGGGTCTAAAAACACCAACTTATGTATATGATATTATATTAAATGCTCTTTTTAAAATCGGTGTGCCATATCAATATTAAGGTTGACATTACGTTTAATTATGACACCGCATCTAAATTTAAATCTCTGACGGAACTGTAATTGCATTCCATTCATATCGGCAACGTGCAAAGCAATATTATTAACCCCCTGAACCCCAAACTCCACCGGTACGGTTGAAAAGCATGCTTTCTTTAATTAAACAACCGGCCAAAACTACACCGATTATCACAGCCTGAAGCTGTAAAAAACGCCCTTAACGTCAGATTTTCAACTTTCCGCAGGTCATTGAACATCATGTGTGCTTCAATCAGAAAAAGGCATTTTTTCCTCCAATAGTGGTAACACTTGGAAAAATGTTGTACATATAGAATCCATTGTTTGCTAATTTTTGTAAAATAAAAGTATGAAAGAAATTCAGCTTGGTTTTTTTTCTTTTTTATGATTAATGGCATTGTAATTGTGTTATACTGCACAACAGACTTTTTTAAGTTATCTACTTTTCCCATCGAAAAACATGACAGGATCATGACATTGTAACAATATACATAGAAGGCTGCACAAACATCCACATCCGAGTTGAAATCATGAAACCTAACTTCCGCCAATCTTGTTCGTCTGCAATAAACGTAACACATTGTGAGAAGGAGGCAACGAGTACCAGCGACTCAAGACGGCATAAAAACGGGAGAATAAGAGTCGGGGAAAAAAAGACAGCTGCCAACTAACTCCCAGAGGACAGTGAACTGCATCTGAATATGTTGCCCAGATGGTAATTAAATCAATTAAGACTTTTCTATTTAAAAAATATTTGCTCCCAACGTCTGTACCGCATACCTTTATAGAAATAGGTTGGGAAATAGTATAACAAATGAAACAAAAATGGTAGGTGTGATGTTGTCTTTTTACATGACTGCCACCAGGTCATTTTCTCTGCTACAGTGTTTGTAGCTGCTTAGAATGCTTCCCTCACAGCAGATCAGTTAAAGACAACTGGTGGTAACGATCAGTCTTTCTGTGACGCTGACACGACAAACCTCCAGAGTGAGTCACGACATTCCTTCCGACATGGGTGGCGCTTTCTCGAAGAAAAAAAGAAAATTGAGTAACGCTGTGTGAATTCTGGTGAACTACATTTACGAATGGCTAACTCTGCTGATGTTCAGATCGTGACCACACTGGTCCGTGCACTTACAGCAGCGGGCCTTTACACGTGTTCTCCCTTATCCAGATACAGATGACATTTTAATAGCAGGTGTAAATGGAGCGAGTCATGGAAAAACTAACCAGGACGGACGCGGGGAAACCGAAGTCCACTATCAAGTGTGCGAAGTGCAGCTGCGTGTCGGCAAATGTCATTAATCCTTAGTAGTACTAGAGGTAGCAGTAGGTATTGTAGTAGTAATACATAAAAACCAAAAAGTCAAGTAGAACTCATGTGACTATGCACTGGAGGCAGAGTTTTGAAGTTTTTAGTGTATGAAAAACTGTCCATATTGTCAGAGGAGTTTAAACTTAGCAAGCAACCTCACTCCAAGTATTGCGTGAGTGACACTGCATGGAGGTCACCATCTGGCTAAATAATAGAGACACACACAAGTTAAGTAACTACAATCTGTTTTCCCCCTTAGGATAGATTTAAGAGATTCCAGCTGTGACGTTTTAGCGTCCAACAGGCACCAAAAACAGCCTGACAATACTAACACTTTTGTTCACGGGGACTGTTCAAACTACAGGCTGTATATAAGAACTGGACGTAGTCGTCATGACGCCCCCCATTGGTTTGTGGACTGCCGTTTTGAAGCCTTGAGTTCCTCATTTTGCCGTCGCCATATTGGCTTTTTGCAACCAGTAAATGGAAGTGACCATATTTGGACTGCGGGAGAGTGACGTAGAGACACCGTATACAGCTCTGGTAACTGTAGTAATAACCATGCAGCCCCGCCCTAAAGCATACCCTTCTTTATGGTCTGTTTGACTCTAAATGAACATCATGCTGTATTGAAGAAGACTTGAAACTAGCGATTGAGACCATAAACTCATGTTTACAATGTTTACTGAGGTAATAAATCAAGAGAGAAGTAGAGTCATTTTCTCATAGACTTCTATACAGCCAGAGGAGTCGCCCCCTGATGGACAGCAGAGAGAATATACCTTCGAGACACTTCTGCATCGGCTTCATTTTTTAGAACCGGTGGCTGCTGCCTGGTCAAAACCAACACGAAAAAGAAAGTTGCTGATAGCAGCTTTGAGGAGACAATCCCATCCTGAAAAAGGACTAATAAACCACATGCTGCTATCTGATCTCCTGTGGTGCTCGGAGAGTGAGCCAAAAGACGGACAAGCTGGCTGTGACAGTTGATAATAGCCATTTGAAGGCAGATTGCTGATGGGGTACGAGCATGTGACTCATGAAGCACACAATGAGGCTGTTGTCGGTGGGGACGGGTTTAGGCGTTGTGACACAGACGCAACACGCTGCTGTACAGTGGGGTGCACACTGGTGATTGTCGGAGAAAAACACACACAGGCTGACGCATCACAACAGCAGGAGTGGATTAAATCTAAGTGGGCGAGCTAATATCTCCCTCTCACTCACACACACACACACACACACACACACACACACACACACACACACACCAGTACAGGTAAGTGGGTTCATGCGTGGGTGCGCACAGCACACAGACAAAGAACGCAGGATAGCAACCATGCCGCCCGCACGCGTGCGTTTTGCAGATGTCCCTGCTGAGTCATCGCTTTGTACGTTCGCCGTTCAGCTTTCACAGATTCCGCCTTTCTCCCCCTCAACACCACTGCCACCTCTTTCTTTTCTCTCCTCTTTCATTCCGTCCCTCCCTCGCTCAGCCTCTCCTAAGACACGCCGTCTCCTAGCAACAAAAGCTTTCAGCTCTAAAAATAAATGGGCGAGTCACGACGGACAAGACAAAATATGATTCAATTACAGGAACTTGACAACTACAGGAGTTTAGGGTTCGGGCGGCGGTCCAGAGCACCGCAATGTGAGGGTGTGTGATCCGTCTGAGGCGGCCTGACCAGCGCTGTCACACATGTTGTAAACACATTACAACATAAAACAGGAACAGCCCCCCCCCCCCCCCGTAAGCACCGGTGGAGCACATTTCCTCAACCATCCAGATCTATTTGAGCCTAAAAAGGCTGTGCATTGATAACGTTTTGCGTCTGGAGTCCATACAATCTCCTGAAGTCGTTCAGAGGCGGGGAACAGATGCACAAAATCAGACGGCACAACCGATGGTGTGACAGATG